TACAACAACTATAAAAAAAAAAAAAAAAACCAAAACCAGGGGGGTTTGAAAAATTTTCCCCCCCCCCCCCCCCCCCCCTGGGTTTGACCTTAATGTAAAATGATTTCACTAAGTATTTAATACCAAATTGAAGCTCGTAAAAAGCTGCATCTATTAGTACTAAATAGTAATGGTTGTGAAGACCTTTTGATGTCGAACTTACGAGATTTTCAGAAATTTGATATCTTTTTTGGTGTAGAGAAGTAAGGTATTAGTAATTCAAGTACGAAATAAAACATTATTCTCAGATATTTTTACATGATTCTGTAGAGCCTGACAAGCTCTGCAAAACTATATATTTCAAAAATACATAGAGCTATCTTTCGGTGATAAAAAATTCAACATGCTGCTTGCAAAACCACAAAAATATTTGAGACTTTACTTTTTTCAAATGGAAGAAAAACACTCAATTTTTCAATAAAATTAAGTTTCATTGATTATTTTTCTCCGGCTTAAACGTTTCAAAATACACTAACTTGATGCAATTTTTCACGCGGCATCGAAAGGGTACATTTCAAAAAGTCTGAGCTAACATAACTAATGAAAAAAACTAATATTATTGAAAAAGTTGGATGTTCTTTGACGTGAAAAAAAGATAAATTTTTTGACACTTTTCTTGGATTTTCCGTTTAGTTTTTCGATTTTTTTATCACCGAAAGCTAGCTCTAACTATTTTTGAAATATATAGTTTTGTAGAGCTTGTCAAGCTCTATAGAATCATGTAAAAATATCTGAGAAAAATATTTTATTTCCTACTTGAATTACAGTAGTGTCAAACCTGAAAGTTGAATTCAATTATTGAAAATCAACTTCAATTATTCAATTATTGAATAGTTGGTTTCTCAATTATTCAACTATTCCTTTCTTCGGGAAGTCATGAGCCGCCTCTTACTCCTTTCTCCGCACCCACACCTGTTCCTGTGTTGTGTGCGTGTGAAGGTATAGAAGTCCTTTGTTCCTCACCCTCCAAAAAGCAATAATTGAATAATTGAACTTCAACTATTGAAAAAAAGAATAATTGAATAATTGAAATTATTTTTCAATAATTGAATTCAAGTTTCAGGTTTGACATGTATGTTGAATTACTAATACCTTACGTCTCTACACCAAAAAAGATATCAAATTTCTGAAAATCTCGTAACTTCGACATCAAAAGGTCTTCACAACCATTACTATTTAGTACTAATAAATGCAGCTTTTTACGAGCTTCAATTTGGTATTAAATACTTAGTGAAATCATTTTACATTAAGGTCAAAACCCAGGGGGCCGCAAAGGTTTTTTAACACCCTATAGTTAGTATTGATATTTTTTTCTAATAGAGTTGTATATAGAATACTATATAATACTATAAGAAATAGATCTATCTATATAATAGAATTTATATTAGAAAATTTTTACCTGCTGTTCGAATATAATTTTTTTCAGCTTCTTCTCGAATCCGTTTATGTGCTTGCTTATTTTCTATTCTAAGAAGAAAAAAAAGAAACTATGCTAATTGAATAGATAATAACTTTATTTTACTCATTATTTTGAATTCTATCCTCATTGGATGATAACGTTGGAATTGGTGATAGTGAATTAGCATATTCAGAATTATTATCTAATAACTTTAAAGAAGAAGTATATAAGCGTATTTCTATAAAAAGCATTTATAATTTGTATATACTATATTATCATTAAAATTGATTTTATCAACAATTGATTCTGGTAAATCTTCTTCGTTTAGGACTTCTTTATTTTTAGCTTGTTGCTTTAGTTGTTCCCAGAAATCGTGGTGGTTTCTTACTGGCTGGCCGAAAACCATCTCATATGCTGTCTTTTTCGTGGCTTGCGAAATGCAGTTGTTTATAGCAAGCATAACTGGCCCTTAAATATGATATTAGAATATTATTTCCAAAAAAATTGAATCAATCTAATATTTATCAGATATACCTAACGCATTCGGCCAGTCATTACATTTATTCGTTTCCAACCACTTTCCTATCATTTTCTGAACAACAGCATTTGCACGTTCCACAAGCCCTTGGGATTGTGGATGACGTGGTCGTCCATTAATTATAATTAGTTCGGGCCAATCTAACTTTAAGTTTAATATGATATTCGCCCTAATAAGTACGTAATCAATTAAAACCAAAAAAAAGATATATATCCTACGTAAACTCCCTTCCATTATCGGACTGCAAAATTCGTGGTGGTCCAAAACTATAGAAAATACTTTTTAAATTGTGTGCTACATATTTGGCTTCCTTTGATTGTAAAGCAAAGAGCCAACTAAATTTAGTGAAATGGTCCTTTACGTGCATGATGAATTTGTAGCCATTAAATTCAGCACTTCGCATGTCTATCAAATCTACTTGCAATCTTGTTAGAAAACCAACACATACTATTGGTTTTCCAACAGGTGCCTTCGGGAACGATCGACGAACCTGACATGCATCACACATATTAATATAAAGACATACAGCTTGTAATGGTATGCCAGAGTATAATTTCTTTACCTATACTCGAACATTAAAAACTTAATAAAAAAGAAAAGTAATACTAACTTCACCCCAAGTCTTATCTCGACCAGAATGACCAACACAAAGATGACATTCTTTTATCTTATCGTATATTTTTTCGTGTAAAATTAACTGTAAATTATTTTTTTTTGAATAGATTAATTCTTTTTCACCTATTTGAATAAGTTTAAATGTGTTGTTAACCCAAAATTTAAATTTGGGGGTTTGATTAGTTTTTTCTTCTTTAAGTACCTTCATAATATTATTATACATTTCAGTTTTAATCGTGTATTTTGTTCTTTTTTTTATATCGATTGTATTAATATATTCTTCGAATTTTTGATAAAAAATTTCCATTTTTTTTAAATATTAAGACAGAACTGCTTCCGACACATAGATAAATAAATTATATATTTAAAAATTCGATATGTAATTTATGTTTCTTTTTGTTTCGTAGCAACAAATGTTAAGAAAAAAAAATCTAATTAAAATATCTTAGTTTTTTTAAATTTCACATCTAGTCAATAAAGTTAAATAGTTTAGATTATAGAAGATTAAATTTGTAAAAAAATCGAATTAAATTTGATAAATTATTTTAAAATTAAGATAAAGAATTATAATATCTTCACTGATTATAAAAATATTAATAAAAATTGATCGACTAATTATAATATAATCAATAGCGATGAAGATAAACTTGATTAAATAAGAAGACAAATTTATTTTATTTTATTTTTTTTATTCTCATAAAAAATAATATTCCTTGTTTTCATTTTTTTTCCTTTTTTTTCGCGCATTCCAATCTCAATCATAAGCAAATATTTAGATAAATCATTTTCTCTTTATTTAATATTTAGAATTTTGTGTACAGATTTTTTTCTCTTTCTTTTTTTTGTTTTTCTTTTTTTTTTCTTTTTTTTTCGCGCATTCCAATCTCAACTGAATTCCCAAGTCAACTGTGACATATTCACCAGATATAGAGCTCAAAAACTTCTATCGTCTCATATATTTAGCAATTTTGTATCATGCGAAAATCAATTATTATCAAAATTGTCTTGTCCTTATAATTCATAAGACATGT